CACATTGAGTGCACGCGTGCGTCTTTAAACAGCACGCGTGCGCGCAGATCACTACACAGATGCGCTTACATATGCGTCTCATATGCAGCGGACGTGTGCCGGCGCATTTAAAGCGCACGTGTGCCGACGCATTTCCAGCGCACATGAATGAGTAAAAAAAGTTGTATATTTCAAAAGGAAATGCATATATAACGACGGGTTTAATGCAAAATGGAACAAGCGCCAAATTATTCGAAAAATTGTTAGAAGTACAGGTTGAAGAGAATTAAATTCTCTAGCTAGAGCTCGAGCTCTATCTATCGACCTGTAACACATTTTTTTTAATGTTGGCGCTTGCCTTAAACCCGTCGATATATATATATATATATATATATATATATACAAACAGGCGTTAAGGCACCAAATTCGGACATATATGGGCCAAGTGGCACCTATATAATCGTTGTGGCACCATTTCAAGGTGCCAGAACGTTTTATTTCATATATAAACTCTAATGTGTCATAGTATTATCCCTACAAAATTTCCAGATGGTGCCACTTGGACTATATATATAGAAAAGTACAATTTTAGTTGAACCATATAATCTACAGAGGGCGCTTACTACGTAAGTAAACTATACAACGTAGCGGCACCATGATAGAATATATACAATAGGACGTTGCGGCACCATGTATTTCTTGAGTCTACATTCTAGACGTTTTCCGATATTTAAGATTTAATTTAATTTACTATTAAGTAGTATCTATTTGGCTCCTTAGTCTTAGTATTATTTACGGCTAGTGAAGTAGTGAAATTAGATAAAAATGGATCAAAAATACAAAGTTTTTGGTGGTAAGTAGGTACTAAGTATTTAAACTTTTTTAAATTATTTAGGGAAACAATCAATTATTTGCGGAAACTAGGGATGCTTTTGCACGTTTTATGACTAGGTCACAAAAATTAGTAAAAAAGCATTAGAAGATTTTCGTAAGTATTTTCTTGTTAATATTTAAAAAATAAAAATCAATACTTAACATAACATGTTATATTGAAAATAAAAATTATTATTTTTATTTATTATTATTATTATTTATTAAAAAAATGCGAAAGAATATTTTTTTTAAATAAGATTCTTATACAGTTCAACACGATTTACCTCCCATGAAAAAATTTAACAGATTTTAAAATATAGGTTAAAAAAACATGTCCGTGACTTACCGTTTTACGAAATCACGTCATTAAAATTTTTTATACAGCCATTCTTATTATTTTAACATATACATATATTTAATTTTCTATTTTGTTATAAATTATTTTTTCAAATATTGATGTTTTAAATAATAGAAAAATTATACTTAAAAAAAAAAATTTAAATTAAAAAAAAATAATTTTTGAGTTTTTTTTTAATAAAATTTATTCATTAAATAAAATTTTTCAAAAACTATACATTTAGCTGTTATTGAAGCCGTGATCTGAAAACATGCCGAGACACGGGTATCATTTTTTAAGTCTATTTTCAAAATCTGTAATCTTGAGAAAATAATTTAAATTTTGTCGTACTACTAAAATAATAGAAAAATAATAACATATTTTTATAACATACAAAGATAACTAGCAATCTAAGCAATCTTACAATGTTGCCATAATTTTTAAGCATCGCGTCACGTTTTTAGTCTTGCAGATAATACAATGGAAATAAGTTTTTTAATGTTTTGGGGCAATTATAGGCTGGGCCCCCACAAGGATTTTATTTTTATGTCATTTCATAGCTGGTTTGCCAGAACGGTTGCACCCAAAAATGGGTAAAATTGATAATTTTATAAAGATATATTAGTAAATGATAATTGAACGGGCAAGAGGATGATAATTTTTTTATAATAAAGGGCAAACAAAATTGTTATTGCAATACCAAATTTATTTTAATTTATAATCACAATATTGTTTTTTTTCTACTTTAATAAAAAAAATTTACTTTACCCCTTGAATAAGATCACATGTCTCAATATGCAGGCCCTGTATAATAATGTAAATTAAATTTAAAAAACTCGGTATGCCAAAATTATTATTGTCACAATTTATATTCGTGAAAAAACAGCAATCACATGAATTGTGTAAAAATGGATTTTTTGTTTTGTACACCCAAAAACGAACTTTATGTAAATATTGTAATTGTTCCGTACTGACACGGTTTACAAATTTATTTTCAAGGAAATTAACGTAGTTTTATATATTTTACAAATTTATTTTAGAATAAATTTGAAATTTCTAAATTATCGTGTTAAAGGCAAAAAGTTTTGCAAAAGTGGTAAAAAGGGACACTTAGGTAAAGGAATTACAGGTTTTTCGAACTTTGCCTAAAAATCTGGCGTCCGGATGATTCCAGAAACGATGGTCCAGGTACACGAATCGAGTAAAGGGAAGCAAAAAACAGGCAGAAAGTTTTTGGAAGTGTTAGCGAACGGATCGTTTCTTGTAAATTTTTGCTAAAACGAAATTTATTGCAAAGTTCTATTTAAATTATTGTTACGACTGTTTGTGTATTCTCTAAGGTTAGTTTTTAATTTAGAAAATTTAAAACGAAAAGTAAAATAAATGTGATGACAATAAGTATTTTATTCGAAACATCTGACTATTTCGACAAAGGACTTCCTAAAGCGAGCAATATTTTGGTTTTACTTTTATAAAAGTCAGTGTTTATATATAAACACTGACTTTCAAATAAAGGTATTATATATCTGTATAGTGTCAGAACGCATATATACTTAAAAAATATATAAGGTGCCATTAATTCACATTAAGCGCAAAAAATATTGGGTGCGGGAACGTCCATGTAGTTTTTGGTGTCACTTGGTACTTTTAAGCGTATATATATATATATATATATTCTGTTTTAGGTTTCCGCGGGCGTTATATATATATACATACATATGTATTGGTGGTTTTCCGGGATCTGCTACTAAACTAAATAATCACAAAAGTAAAATCACAAAATCTTGAAGTAAATAAAAATACACAGGTTCATAATTTAAATTATTGTGAAATCCAAGAAAAATAATCAATTATGATGGGAAAATGCTTGTTATGATTTAATCTTTATATTTTTCACACTTACCTGAAATCCTTAATAACTTTTATTAATTTATACCTAACTATAATAACACGTGGACACAACAAACAAAATAGAAAAATAAATACAATACAAACATAACCCGATTGCAGCAATGTAATAAGGTTATGTTTTTGTCGAATTACCGCGTTGACCGGTTACGCGCGAATTTTAAAATTTGAATTTAAATGCAATATAATTTCATTATTATTGATTGTATCATTTTTGTAATTATAAGGTGAATAAAAACGAAATTTACTGTTTTTTTGATAGAATCTGGCATCACTGCCGATAAGCACAGTGTAAGAGAACATTGATCACGTCGTGCGCTCATACTGCGCTCTAATCATCGACCACACGTGTGCGTTCTCACGCCGTGCGACCTACGTTCGACGCACGATTGCTATCTGGGTAGTAGTCCATAGTCGGTAAAACGTACGTTTCACCTACAATGTACTATGGACTATTTTAAATTGTTTAAAAAAAAGTTTTGATTTTAATTTGTAAAGAGTCATTTAAATAATAGTCGATACATTTTTAAACCAAAAATTACCACTTTAAAATTTAAAACTTATTATAATTACGTTAACGTATTAAAAATTTATCAACTATCATTTAAATGACTCTTCACAAATTTAAACCTATAATTTTGTAGAATAAAATACCTATTTGTACAAAATTTTTTTAAATTAATATTTTTAAGCGTAAAGTTTTACAGTTGTATTTTAAATTTAAAATATTTTTTGACTATCAATGGTTTTGAGTTTAAATTTTTATTTTTAAACTCAAAAGAATTCATAGTCAAACTTTAATCTTCAAACTATTATCTAACAAATGCTAAAACGGCGTGCCATACTGATCCTTTAAACTCATATAGTATAAACTTATAGTTAGGCCACGTCAAGTGGGACCAGAAAATTTCACGAAATCACCGATTTTGAAAATATTCACATTATTGTGTAGTAGGCATGACGCATATGTCAGTAAAAATTTTTTTTTTGTTAATGTTATTAAAGTTAATAATTTTGTCAAACTTTAGAGCACGGTAAAATTGAAAAAATCGAATCTCTGGGACCACTCTGTATAATTGAAATTAAACTGTAACGTTTGCCGCATATTATGGCACAAGATTAATTTTTTTCAGCGTGACGAACACATACAACAACAATTGTTTATAATGCAAAACTATTTTATTTAAACAAAGTGTGACAAAATTATTAAATTTAATAACATTACCAAAAAACGAATTTTAAAACAATTTTTTTACTGCGAAATATGCGTCATGCCTACTACACAACAATGTGATTATTTTCAAAATCAGTGATTTCGTGAAATTTTCTGGTCCCACTTGACGTGGCTTGACTTGATCAACTGCATATATGCATCAAAGTAAGAACTATGGGTATCCATTTGTTGCGTGTCACTTTATCGTTTCAGTGGGCCACTACGTATTATAATACAATTGTATCATGTCTTTGATGTTTTGATACTACATAAAGTATACTATAGTATACGCAACAAATGAAGTCTGAGCAATTTACTCGGCAATTTTTGTCGCGTCCGACATGTTTATTATGCTTTTCATAATTAAGCTTATAAGCATGATAATTACAGTTACTCACAATTTTTTATCATTACGGACGCAACAAAAGTTGCCGAGTAATGTAAAATTGCACGTCTAAATTGTTCCAAAATATAAGAATTGATTAATTAAAAATGGTTCGTATTCTACGTGAAAAATAAACGATTTGACGGGATTGGAAACGCTGTTATTACTTACAATTTAAGTATTATAATATTATATTTAGGCTTTTTTATTTATGACCTACTAGACTGTATAATCCTGTTAAAAATACCAAAAGTTGTTACTCACCCTTGTATTTATAAAGAAAAATGTAAATTAAAACAAAAATATTATGCATATGTTTTATTACAGAATCATCTAAAAAATGACTATTCACAATAACTTTAGGAGCTTTTAAAACAATAAATACAGAAATAATTTACACAAAACAACTATAAAATTAATGTGTATATGTATTGTATAATGGAAAGCAAGGCACAAGTTCGATGAAACTATGTTAAACAGCATCCATATAATCTAATATATACAAGCTTTGTTTTAATCGTAAACAATATTTAAAATAAATCAGAAAAAGATTTAACATTATGAACAGGAAAAATAATTAAAAACTACCAACTGATAAGATTTTTCATTAAACTTAAAATATTTTTAAACCCAAACTTTATTTTAACGTTATGGTTTAAAAATAGATTAAATTTAATAAAATCTATTTAGTTAAGATTATCCTGCATATGAAATAAATATTAAGTGAAAAAACATAAACAATTTTAAAGCAAATCAATTTAATTGATAATCAGTCTATTAGCATTTTACTTATGGTTGTGATAAATATTAATCAACAGGATGATAAATTTTAACAATAAAAAATGCCCTTGGTATCTTTTAATATTTTAAGGTACAAATTATAACAGTTCCTAAATTGGATTTTAATATTTTAATAAAACTTTTACAAAGGTAACCAATATTTGATATGGTTAAATAGGTACTAAAACAATTTACAATTACATTAGTATGGGCAATTTATCTATAAACATTTTTTAAGTTTTCCTTTAAAAGTTGTATTTTATGTACAAGTTAAAATGTAGACATGAATATACAAATCTCTTTTAGAGAAAGAATTGATATAAAAGCTATAACAGTTCAGCACCTTATAATATATACATGTTTGTATATAACAATAAAAAAATCTGCATTTTTAAACATCAAAATAATAAGTTTATCATAATTTTAGTCCAGACTAGATCAAAAAATAACAATTTTCAAAGTCGCGAAAGACTAACTAAATTACATATAATTAATATGTTAAATTGAAGGCGTAGAAATTACTAAAAATACTTTTAGATAACATTAAAATCACAATTATTGTTAATATGAAATAAGACCAAATATTTAAAGACAATTGAAAACAAGGAACTTCAATTGTTATAAAGGTGTAAATACAATGGTTTATTTTAATTTATGGTCTATAATAAGTTATTCACAAATACAATATGATTACATATTATAAGATAATTTTCATTAATATAATGCAATACAAATTTTACAAAAAATATTCTTTAATTTGACATGTATGCAGTAAATGTAGATAAGTTTGATTTGTATCATGAGTCAGTATTTTTTGTCTTTTTAATCTATTTTTAACACTACAAAAATAATCAATATTTAGTAAAATTAACACAATAAAAAGTACAATATCACACATTCAATAAACAAATTTTTATATATTTAGCCCAATCAAGACAGAAACGTTGTCAAACGGGTAATATTTTTAGTAAGAAATTTAGCTGGCGTTAAACTGGGCAGGATTCTTCATACACATAAACAAAAAAGTCGCTTTTACAAAGAAATGTGTTAAATAAATAAAAACTAACAATAATACTTGGTTACAACAAACGGACAACTTTTAATGCTTGACATAAATAAATAAATAACGTGTAAGTTGTCGCTAACACAAAAAATGCAATAGGAAAAACACGATTCACTTGGACAGTTTACTAATGACCCTAATTAGCGCTCCGTTTTCATCTTTCAACCTCTGATTTTCGGACTTCAATATTTCCAGGTGCTGTAAATTCAAATATATTAGAATGCAAGTTATAACACAAAATAACAATATTATTTTGTGGTATTTTAAATTTTAAACTAAAAAACTCAAGACAAAAGCCATGTATGTCACAAACACACATTAAAGAAGCTATTAAAAATATTATGCTGGAAAAAATAAAACATTATTTGTGTATAGGTTCTAAAAATCGCATGCTTATTGTGTTGTGTGCCTTAAAATATTCGTATAAAAATTTGTAAGAAATTTTTAAGTCAAATAATTGCACTTTTAAAAAACAGGCAAGAAAAATGTGCAAAGAAAAAATCGGAAATAAAAAACCCTTGTCATATAACAATATTGTGCCTTAGGAAATATGATAATTTATTAATGAGATTTTTTACCAATAATAAAACAATTGAGTTGAGTTTTTGTTCTGTAATGTCCCTTTTGCTGTTCTAGGTAAAAGTTAAAGAATATCTTATTGTGTCAATTACAGACCATTCATAAATCTCGTGACGCTAGAAAGGGGAGGGGGTGTTTGAAGGACCGTCATGATTTGTCACGCCTGAGGGGGGAGGTTTTTTTTAAAACGTCACGCACATAGTCAATAGAATTCAACTGCTATATATAGTGAAAGGGGGTTTGATACTCGTCACATGACTCTTTGGGGTCTTTACATCATCACATTCTGTTACAATGGAGGTGGAGGGGATCAATTTTGACCATTTTTAGCGCCACGAGATTTATAGACAGTGGTATAATTTATACAGGGTGGCCAAACATATCACTCGTTTGTTAGGTATAAAATTAAATTGAATTGTATTTTGTTAATTTTAAGACTATTTCCTAATATAAAATGATTGAAAATTTAAATTTTAAATAATATTAATTAAAGAAAAATTATGTTGATTTAAAAAATATATAAAATAATCTGACAATCATGGCAAGCTCATCTCACTTATTTGGTTTGTTTTTATTAGAACCTTTACTTGATGTGGAATATTTTACGTTACAATAACCATACACTGTAATTAAAAGTCTCTTTTAAACTTAAATGCTTCTAAAAAACTATCATTTAATAAAAATACTGAAAATGACCTTATATAGTGTGGCCCCGGATTGGTTCACCAATAGGAAAATTTGTTTACTAGGAATTTGTCCCGGAATTTGTTTTTATAAAAATACCTATTTAAAAATGAGATTCCCATAAAAAAATTAAATCTCATGTTCAGGGTGCTTAGAAAACATTAAAATTCTTTAAAGAGAAGTAGCTTTATTTATTTAATAATTTGACTTTTGAAATAGTATTAATATGAAGTCTTTCTATATAGACTTAAAAGTCTTATCATTGAAACCCTGTATATTAAATAAAATAAAAAACTTTTTTCAATAAACGCCAATTTTCGATCCATAAAAAACTAACAAAAATACTAGGTATATAATAAACTTCTGCGTTGTCTTTTATAAACATTAAAAAAATTACAAAACAAAATTACTTGATTTTTGCTCGAAAATCAACCCGAAAATTATGTATTTATTTAAGATAATCACAACCCCAAAAAATTGGGATCAGATAGCTATTTAATAAAATGTTAATGTAATTTCTAACAATAAAAAAATATAACAAAAGCAACTATGACGATTTAATAAACAAAAATTAGTAAATTAAACAGCAAACAAACCAAACTCAAAATAAAATTATGTGAATGTACAACAGATATTAAAAAGGCGAAAATTTATTTTTGGTAAGCGGTTAAATTAAACACTTGACAAAGATGAATGAAACCATCACATACAAAACAAATGATAACCGCGCCTAAAAGGAACAAAAACACCATCTAAAATGTTAGGCTTTTGGCAACGGTTACCTTTGTTTTAATTTATGATTGGACTAGAAAACAAAACGGTAAAACGATAAACAAATCGAAATAGAAGGCGAATGGCAGCTGCATTTTGTTGGTTACCTATTTTTTTGCAGAGTTGGTAAGTTTGTTGATGACCCGAGTAAGAGACCTGTTATCGGCCTTTAGCCTTTCGTTTTCGGCCTTCAGTTTTTGCAATTGCTAAAACAATATGTTACCCTCATCATTTATTTTGCAATTTAACTGTTTTTTTACATTGTAAAATAAGAGTTTTGTTTTGAGTGTGCAATTTTTTGACTTACTTAAACCAATAATTATTAAACTGCAATAAAATGTTTATTGTTTTTGTTGTGGTGGAAAAGTGCATTCCTAAAGGATAAAACTCAATATGCAGTTCGAAAGTAAATAAAAAAAATATATGATGTTAAAAGAGATTTTACTATTACCAACCTTTAATTCCTCTTCCATTTCACTTAATTTTCTTTCCATTGCTCTTCTTTCACGCTTTTCCAGCTCAGAGAGTGAATTTTTGCTAGTCTGTCAAAAATTAAAAAAACAATGTTAAAATTAAGTTTATTATTTTGGATGAAAATACATTTGTTTCTAAGGAATCAGTTTATTGTTCCTATGGCTAATTTTAAACATGGTTTAAAGCAGGGTCAACGTTAAAATAAAATATTTAAAATCAGGTTTTCTTAAACTTTATAGCAATTTTGGGTTTGTTTTGAAATTTTATTTAAATGTAATTTTAATATTTGATTTTGAATTAAAATAATAAAAATACCAATTAAAAACTGGTACTGGTAATAAAATTATTCTCTGCACAATACTTTTAATATACCACCAATTATGGAGACTTACTGGATTTGTAACCATCTTTATCAGCAAGGACGCTAACAACAATATTTTTAGCGAATTATGTTTTTAAGTTCAGGGCAGTGAAAAATTCAAGTACCCAGAAAAAACTCTATGGAAATATATTTTACAATTAAGGGAAAATTAATGAATTAATTAATTTAATTTTAAAATTGTTTTTTTATAACATAAAATATCTGTTTACTGGCTGAAGGACCTGTTTTTTTGCAATAAAGTTTATTTATTATTATTATTAAAAAAATATAATAAATTTATATATTTAAAACTTTAAAAAATATACTTACAACTACGTTTATTCTTTCCAACGTTTGTTTCGTGTCGCGTAGTTCCTCGTCGGACTTTTTGAGCTTGTCCTTAAGCCTGTCATTTTCTACCAACTGTTGTTCGTACAATTTTTTGTAATCTATTTCTCCATTTTCGTTTCTAATATCACTGTTGCTGCTTATACGCGATCGGCTGCTCCTTTCGACACCGCTCTGTAAATAAAAAAAATAATACTTTTTATTAAAATATAGTTAAATGGTTAGTTTTATAAAAGAGTTTATTGGATCTATAGGGTCTTTTCTGTTTATTTACTTTTTCACAGGCACTTTGTTAAAATTTGTATTAAATTATTTTAAAAATTAGTGATTTTAAATCATTACACATGGTATCCTAAATTGGCGCACTAGTACTACTACTACGCACGCGATGGGGGAGTTACATGTTTAATATTATAGAATAATTAATTTTGTGGACGCCTTCTACTGCTTTTTTTTTAAATAGCCAATCAAGTATTGTTTTTACCAATTGTTTAAAAGTTGAATTCAGCTCAAGATTTAAGGAAACCCAAATTCTAAAAAAATGGGAAGTATTTTTCTCTATTCTAATAATTTGTAAAAAGCACCTGTTGTATTGTATGTGGGTCAAAAAACTGACTATTTTTTTTTACTTTGTACTCTAAAAAATTGGTTACTAGACAACTTTAGAGAATTCTCACCAAACATGAGCTATTAATTTTGATAACAAGGTCCTCCGCTTTACAATTTTTAATTTTTTCGTAAAACTCAAAAATTCAATTGAAATTTTTCGAATTATTCATTAAAAACTGTTAAAATTAGTATACATTGAATTTTGACGATGAATATCTTTTAAACGCTTAATTTAATCGACAAATCATAAGAGACCATTTTTGTATAGCAGTTAATTTCCTACAAAACTATGAGTTGCGCGATTCATAAAAATTTTTTGTAAGCGAGTTATAAAATTCATAAGCAAAACAGAAAATAATAAATAATATAATTAAACTTTAACCTTCGATATCTTTTTAACGGTGAGGTTTACGAAAAAATTGTAAGATACCTTTTTTGTAGAGCGTTCTATTTCCTACAAGAATATGATTTTTTAACGAACAGTTGTCGAAGATATATGAATTTTTGTTTCCAATACTGAGAAAAAAATGTAAAATTGTAAAGCGGAGGACCTTGTTATCAAAATTAAGAGCTCATGTTTGGTGAGAATTCTCTAGAGGTGTCTAGTAACCGGTTTTTCAGAGTACAAAGTAAAAAAAATAGTCGGTTTTTTTGACCCACCCTAATGTGTATGTTATTTACACCCTAGGGGGAGAAGGGGTCGGACAATTTGTAAAGAAGTACGACGAGGGGGTTATTAACTACGTAATGTCAAGTTAGACAAACAATTTTTTGACGCGTCTGGTCAAAAAAGGTAGGAAATCACGTGGTGTAATTTTTTGTAAAAGAAAAAATACGATGAAGAAATAAAACAGTGGACCCAGATATTCACTGACATAATATGTCAACATAAGCTTGCTATAAATATTGTAATTTTCACAATATTTACATTATTAAAATAGTAATCTTATGTCACCTGCTCTATATGAAAATGTAAATAATGAAGGTTACCTAAACATTAAACTTCAATGATTAAAAACAAAATGCAATACATTTAAATTAAGATGACAGGTCATAAATAAATACAAGAACACGCAAGAGTCGATAAAATTAAACAGTTAAGTTAATTTAAGATTTCGTTTTATACAAGATTAAATAAGTTTATTGTTTAGTGTTTTTCTTACACAATATCCTGTGTCAGAATTAAGCGAAGTCATACTAAGTGACCTGGAACCCATCCCTGAGCTGGCCAAAGAATTCCTCGACCTTGACAGCGACCTTTCCCTATTCGCATAACTCCTAGCACTATCCCTTCTCGACCTGTGCCCTCCATCGTAGTCCCTACTGTTATCATAAGTCTTGGAGTAACTCGGAGTAACCACGTTTATATTCGTAAGGGCCTTAGCGGGTATCGTAAGACTGGCGTAACCGCTGCTCCCACTGGAGCCCCTGTAACCGTTGGGAAAATACGGACTTTGGTAGTTGGAAGTGTAGTTACTGTAGGATGAAGGGCTATACGAAGAAGGGCTGGAGTATGGTGAAGAATACGCCGAAGTATTGGAACCGAAATACCCCAAACTCCTCGGTCTGGAATAACCTCCAACCGAACCATTACTCCTCACACTCGAAGAGGATCTGTGCCTCGTCGGCACACCTTTGCTGCTTCTGAACGACATATCACTCACAAGAATACACACAAACGCAAACGAGTACAAGAAACGCAAGTTCCTTATGTAATTTAATGTTTGGGCGAAAGTAAACTGTTTGGTAAACTTCGATAAACTGAAAACATTAAGGAACACGCGGTAAGACTGAGAAACGCTTGAACCTGGCTATTTAAAACGCCGTAAATAACTGCGTTATTCTCAAAAATACACGCGCAACCTATGTATAAGTCAACCAGAAGCGCGGAGTCACGCGCCCATATTTATTTTTAAACGTTTTTTTCTTTTATCGCAAGTCGGTGGGTTAAGTGCAGGGATGCGCTCGCAATGCACATATGCACATGCGGTTATTGTCCAAATTTTCGATCCAAAACAAAAATAGAAATTGCGATCGACCGCAACATTTGGTCTGCGATAGTTGTTGCCTTACACAATTCCCTAGATGGTTGCATGTCATTGATAATAGTTTGCAAAATAATTTATTACACATACGCCCATTTTTGTAGACCCATAAAGAATTTTCCAACTATATTTACATACATTAACATCGTTAATTTTTACTTTTATGTCGTCTTCATTTTAGTCTACGACTGATTATAAATTTATTTTTTATAAATAATAGTCCCTGGGCATTTTACCGTTTCTTTTTTGTTTTTATTACTAAATATTACTTTATTTAAAGCCTGTGCAAAAAAAACCGTATTTTTTTTTAATTTTAAAGATTCCAGTAATCTAACCGCTTGTATGATAAAAAATTAAACATATCAAAGTTAAAAAATGAATTTATATACAACACAACCCTCTAGGTGACATTAGAGGAAAACAATATTTCTAAATATTCTTAATAACGTTTCCTGCTTGTGTTCACTTAACTCATTTAACTCCAAACAAGTTTTCCTTAAAAATTAAGAAAAAAAAATAAAAATTGATTTTACATAAATATTTAAGGATATTAAAAAAGTTTTTGTTTTTTGGGGGTTTATAAAAGTAAGAACAGATTGTTTTTTCTGTGAAGTCAAACATAATTTTGCCTTTTTTTAAATCTCAATATTGCAGAAACATGTAATTTTCTATTCTTTTATAAAAACCTTCGAGGTCGTCGAGCACCTTATAGATTATAAATTTATTATTTAAAAAGATACCTGCGTTGAGCGTTTGAGATTTCCAACTTAAAAATAATAGGTTTAACTTGTTCATATGGTTTCAAGTCTCTACAACAGGTTAGGCCTATAGGCCTAATACAAATATACAGTGGCCCATTTGTTTGCGACTCGCGCCTGTAAAATCGTTATTTATTGTGCGATTTTAACCGGATTTGTATTAAAGTGTCTTGATCCTGATCTTGATAAACTCTTTTTTGGAGCAAAAAACATAACATTTTTACAAGATCTACACTTTAAAATAAATTCGGTTAAAATCTAACAATAAATAAAGATTTTACAGGGCTGAGTCGCAAACAAATGGATCACACTGTATGTATAAACCATGGTTTCGTTAGGAATTAATGTTTAATCTCATCTTCTACTTCTATTACGGAATATGACCGTTCTGATATCACTTTTTAATGTGGGATGACACATATTCTTTAAAGTATTACAGAATTAATTAATTAATATATATACAGTGTGACCCATTTGTTTGCGAATCACCTCTGTAAAATCTTTATTAAATAAATTTTATTGTGCGATTTTAACCGGATTTGTTTTAAAGTGTAGATCTTGATAAACTGTATTTTTGGAGCAAAAAACGCCATATTTGTACAAAATACAAAATACTATGTCAGATTTTAAGAGTAAATTTTTAAGAATTTATATTAGGGAGTTTTTTAAACAAAATATAAGCACGGCACTGGATTCACCACCCCTCAAAACAACCCAATACTAAATTTTATTGAAAAATTTTAAGTAGAAAAATACACGATAATAACTACAAAAATTTATTGTGTCAAGTTATCCATAACAAACATTGAAATAAAATTAAACTAATAGTAACATGGTAATTTTTCAATAAAATTTAGTAAGGGTTTCTTTTGAGGGGTGGTGAATCCAGTGCCGTGCTTAGATTGTGTTTATAAAATCGCTAATATGAATTCTTAAAAATTTACTCTTAAAAACTGACATAGTAGGCCATGTATTTTGTACAAATATGGCGTTTTTTGTTCCAAAAATACAGTTTATCAAGATCTACACTTTAAAACAAATACGGTTAAAATCGCACAATAAATAAAGATTTTACAGGGTTAAGTCGCAAACAAATGGGTCACACTGTATATATATAAAATTTGTTTTTATAATCCTGTTTTTAAATAACAAATTACATCAATTTTAAAGTAGAATAGATTTTTTGCCACATTAATTAAACATTTAATTGTCCCTAAAATTATTGTTCTTTCCTCCAAACCAATCCAAATAAAAACAAAAATAGAAACCGAGAGTTTCCCTGAATTGTAACATTGCTTTGTTGCTGCCAATAAAATTAACCAGGTGTTTAAAAACTTAACATCGTTTGTTTCTCGATTGGCGTTCGGCCAATGAGGTTTTTTATTTTATTTTCAATGCCCTATGACTGCCAATTCGTTTAGAATCCGAGGCTATGAGGGAACGCAACGTAACGAGCGCGCGGCGCATTAAAAGCGATTTTTATTTTTAGGTAAAAATATTAACTGTCACAGGTTTTAGTGCAAGGACAGCAGAATACAACTATTTTAAAAGCACTAAATAAATTAACTCTTGTTTTTAGTTTTTATTTTGTTTTAATACTTATTGACTCTAAATAAAAAAACTTACGGCAAAATAAGGTTAGGTAAATACTGCAACAGCTTCCTATTTTTTTTTAATGAATTGCAATTGCAATTTTTGACCAAATAGCTTTTAACTAAGCTAAAGGCCACCCACAGGAGACGTTTTCAGATCAAAGAAGAAGAAGAATTGTCAACTTCTTTTAAAAGCCTATATTAGCCTATATTATTCCCTTAAAAAGCTTCTTTTTAATGAAAAAGCACTGTGAATTTTTTTTTAATTAAAAACAACACGTGCCTCAAGCTGATTTAAGTTAATTTTTTCGTATAATCATGTTTTTTGGAATTTTTTTATGATAAATAAAATTTTATTCGAAATATTAACAATTATAGAACCCAAATCAACAAAAAACAATAGTTCGAAATAACAATAGACAAAAATTTAAATTCAAAATTTTTCCCAGTTGATTTGGTCTATTAAACAAAAAAATGAAAGATATTCAAATTGATATTTTTATTTTAAAACTGAATTAGTAGAAACGCAAGATACATACACCTAGAAACGTAATTTTTCCCAGTTGATTTGGTCTATTAAACAAAAAAATGAAAGATATTCAAATTGATATTTTTATTTTAAAACTGAATTAGTAGAAACGCAAGATACATACACCTAGAAACGTAATTTCAATATCTAGATTTCTTCACTACAAGGTGAAGTTATTTCATTGTTAATAATTTTTAAATCTCAAAAAATTTATTAGGTATTCCATATTTTCAGAAAAGACATGATTATACCAAACAATTAACTTAGATCGTGTTGAGGCACTTGTTTTTAATTAAAAAAAAAAATTCCTAGTGTTTTTTCATCAATACGAAGCTTTTTAGGGGGCGTCGCAAAAAATTTAATTTTTAACGACCACCCTAATGTACATGAACATGAGTAACAATTTTTTAACCAGAATTAATTTAAGCAGAATATTTGCCATGTTTGCTTAGTATGTAGCTTTTTTTGAAGATGAAGATTATAGGTTAAGTTCGAACGCTGCAAGTTTGGTAACTCAACGTCACATACTTCCAAGTATGTGCTCAACGTGCTCGACAACGGTGGGCAGGGCCGGATTAAGTGAGGGGGCTAAGGGAGCTGCAGCCTAGATACAATTTTTTTTTATTTTGTACCAATTTTGTATGATTATGCAAGTTACATAATGTAACAAAAAAACGAATTTTTTTGTTTATTCACAATTAGCTACTGTTTATGACTAATTGGGTGTAACTGACAACATCTGCGTGAATAGCTAAAACTATAGTTTTAGCTACAGTGTCAATATTTATTAGTTAATTTTATGCACTGGTAAATCTTAACAATATATTTTATTAAACTACTGCATTATATTAACAAAAACGGTTAGGTAACAAATTCATTAAAGAATATTTAAAAAAGTATTAAACTTTAAATATTTGAAACATGTAAAAATGTTCACTTAAAGTGACAAAAATCAACACAACATTTTTTTGTTGCCTAGTTTTATGTATAAAATTTTGTTTAATAAAAAGAAAAACGGTCATACTCAAGTACTCGTATACTGGAGTATGTGATACTCAAATAAATTAGTAAAGAACCTAAATATAGGCAATACTATTAACAGGGATGCAAATACAATGTATCCTTGTTAATCTACTTGCCTACAATCATAATCATTACAAGAGTAAGTGTTAAAGCACGGTTAAAGCAAGCTTTAAGGATTTAAGGGCCTCAAAATATCAAATACTCCCGGGCCTCCATATTGCGTTATCAAACTTAAAGCTTTCGAACTCTACCTCAATTGATATTTTTTGGATGTTGGTATACAGAGTTTTTCCGAATTTTATCAAATAAATAAACAGCACAAAATATGAAAAGGGTAAAAAATGATTTATAAGGGAGCTACGCTCATTTAAAGATATTAATTAATACCTTGGTTACGCAGAACCAAACATTCTCAAATCGATTTTTCTAAACAAGAGGACCTTTTTGTGGAAATTAAATAAAAACCAAAAAACCCAATAACGTAACTCAAAATTTAAAATGGGGGATGCCCCCTGTTTGGGTCCTCCCTGATAGTATGTGAATATCGAGTCTACAACAGAAAAGTTGCATTTGTTAACTGTAATGTATAATTCTTAAAATTAAAGTAAAGTACACCTGAATCAGGTGACCTGAGATAAAGAATAAAATGTAAAGGTTCAGTGCAATCTTCAAAACTCTCTTATAAAGCTTTTTTGAGATGTTGAATCACCCCTTAACATTTTTAGATGGAATTAGGAGACAAAAAAAGAGACAAATTCAAAGGGGAATTATAAGGGTGGTGAGTTTGAAAAA